CGGTGTGTACAGTCTACTTAAGAGTACTTGATAAAGGGTCCTTCCATTCAGGTTGGAGACAGTTCTTTAAGTCATGCCAGTTCCAGTATGTATAATCCCCTGGCCGCAGGTCATGGGGCATTGGAATTTTACCCAAGGATAGATTACTGAGCTTCAGAAACAAACCTAGAGTATCCTTTACATAATTCAATTAACCTTTACAGCAATGTGACATAACAGCAAGGAATGATCTGGGAAGTGTCTTATTAAATATAGACCTCAATTAACAAAACTAGAATCTAGTACCCACTAAAATATATTTTTTTCTCTCTAAAGTTACCCTAATTTTTCTCAAATATAGGCAAATCAAGATTAATTGGTTTACAAGTTAACTCTGATTATTTGATCATATAGGCTTTTTTAAATTGGCTGTGTTGGAACTTTTAATAAAGAGTCTTAGAATGTTAATAAGGTTTTCTAAGGCCAGGAAAGCCACATTAAGGGCTTGTCATGCGATTCTGCCTTACAGATTTAGGTAAATACTTTTCTCTTTAAAATCCGTAAAATATCTTGAGATTCCTATATCTGTTAGGAGATGACCTTCCTCATTTGTCTGACAGAGCCTCTGGGGACCTAAGAGATTTTAGTCTCTTGAGGGATCAGATAGAATAGATAACTGTTCCAAGTCTGCTTACATAGGTATAATTTATCAAATTGCTGTGAATAATAACTAGCTTAAGGAGAAGAGATTCTTTATGTCTGGGAAACAGGTTAAAAGCCAGTAGTATTTCAGACAAAATCAAAAATTATAACCATATTCGCCAGTTTACTCAGTCCCATGTAACTAATTCATTTAATCAGAGTTTTTATTGGAACTTTAATATTAATTACCCAGTTTAGTTCAGTGCTATAGTTTGAAACTTATTAGAAATCAGTAAATCCCCTTGAAGAGAAAGCATTTTGCAAAATCATCAGAAGAAAACCATTAACTGTCTATAAATGACAAAAGATTTAAAAAGCATGGTTAAACACCTTTATACTATAATCGATAAAGAAACCTGGTCACTATAACCAGAATTATCACTGGTAACATTTCTGATATACCAGAATTTTAGGGAGTCCATATAATTTCTAGAGTATCTATATTAATAATATTTTCTCATGCAATATAACCTAGGAAGATTTATTATTCATTTGACAATACCATGTTATTTAACATGCCAAATGAAATTTACTAGTTTAAAATCTCTCTTTGGGATGTTTCAGGGGCCCTCTGTAGCATTCCAAAGTTAACTGGAGATTAAAAGAACTTTAATTAGAAATTAATATTTAGGTAGCTTGTTAGAAGATTTGAGAACACTTGGTCAGATAAACTTATAGATCACTCTAAAGAAGTACTTATTCATTAACAAGAAAATACGTCAAAGGTAAAGGCAGAACAGATCAGTTAAGTGGTATAAGAAGTTTTACAATTTGTTAATGAAAGTGGATTAACATTTTAAGAAAATTCTGTCCTCTTAACAGTGAGAAAACCAAATCTAGTCTTGTACCAGCTTGCTTCTAAGATTCATTTACTTTGCCCAAGCTGATTTTAACTTAGCCAATTCCAACCACATACAAAACACTTTCCTCAGGATTCCTCTTCCACAAGCCTTCCAAAGCTTTCTATACTCATATTAGTGTGTCCCTTATTTTCTCTTCCATTCAGAAGTAGCCAGCTTCAGGAGAAAGTCACTATTTTTCATTATCAAAACATAATTCCATTCTTATATCTTCCTTTACACATTTATCTTAATTTCTTAGGATACTTAGATCATTCCCTTAATAATAGAGTCTAATTCAGGGTGGCACCAACCATTTATTAATATTTCTAAACACCTTTATTTTCTCTGTAAGAGGAATTTAAATGTTAAGTAATACGTATGCCAATCTTATTTTATCTGAAAATGGCATAGGTATTTAATAAAATCCTATCAGTTAACTTAATGTAGCACAACTGTAGAATTTAAAGATACCAATCATTTAGAGATTATCTTAAGCATACATTTTAAAAATATATTTTAAAAATTTACCCAAAGCTCTCATCTCATTTGCATTTAATTTACTTAAAATTTTACCACACCACATTACTGTTATTTTTTTCTTGACAAATCTGCAACAGATATAACAGGATCTTATTTGACTTTCATGAAACCTAGGTACATTAAAGGTATTATACTTAATATTGATGACTTTAAAGATGTCTATATTAATTAGAACATACTTAAACTAAACAATATCAAATATTATCTTAATATTGAATGTTTTTCAGTTCACGTGAAGCTGAAATTCAATTAGTTCAGATTTTATTTTAAAAATACTTCATTTGTAAGCTCTTATTTTTTACATCAGTTAAGCAGAGCTCTTTGAATTTGATTTCTTTTTTTAGCTGTAGAAATATCTCACATCTATAATGTGTATGCAGGCTTATAAACAGACAAAAGCTAGAGATCTCATAGCTTCACTTTAAAACTTACTTATAAGATAGGTATAATAATAGTTGGAGTAAGCTGAATTTGGTTTCTCAAATCACTAAGGCTTACTATTTATGAAACAGACATTTAAGATTTCTTGACAAAGTCTGGAGGA